AGATTCTGTTGTTGACTGTTTATGCACTGATCCTGAACTTTGTGAAAACCTGCCCGTTTTACACCAGAGAGACGAGACGGGGTATCGAGTTGTGTTTCTGTACACTCTGTAAATAAACTGCACATGGATAAATATAACAGTTACACACTATATTTCCAGTTACGCAATCTTCCACAGAGAAAATGTGACATAAGCGTTTCTCAGAATAGGTTAAAGTAGGTCTCCTGTGGGGCTCAGAGTAGAGCACAAACCGTTGACTCACACTGCTGAAGACTAAAGGTCTTTTCTTCTGTTTTTTTGTGTCTTTCACTCCAGTTATGCAAAAAGGACGCGTCCTGTTTCACCTGCGGGGATATGATGCTGAATCATGCAACAGAGGCTCTGAAGATCCTCGGGGGCGTCGGACTCTTTTTCAGCTTCACAGAGGTGAGTGTCCGCTCCCCGAACCATCTGCTAACCATCCACTCATTTAATTGGTCTAATGCGTCTTTGACAGAGTTCCTACAGGTGGTGGGAAACCAGTCCTGGAAACACCTGGAAATATATTGAAATGACCAAATATCCTGGAATATTCTTATTGTATTATTGTGTTTTGGCCACATAAATGTGACTAAACACTGACCACTGCTTGTGAGCAAGTACTGTCCTGTACTGGCTAGAAAAACTCCTGGAAAAGGTCCTGGAAAAGGTCCTGGAAATCTGTTTCTTAAGGGACAAGAGAAAGTCACTAAATTGAGTTTATGTTTTGCCAAATTGGATGTTTGCAGTTATTTTGGGGAACAGTTCTGATTTGAGTTTTCCTCCTGAAGGCCTGATCGCACCAACATTTAAAACCAGTTAATTTTAATGGAATCACTTTGGTATTCACTGACTTATTGACCGATATTCGCCTTGTTGATTGAAACTGTCTAGAGGCCGATGTTTATCCGTCGTATTTGCGCTGATTAAATAAGACATTAGAGAAATAATCGCGCTCAGCAGCACGGACAGCGAGCAGCTGTTCAGCTCTGTGTCACACATCTTGAGTGAACAGATAAATAGACCGACCTGCACAAGGAAGAGATTCTTATCTGTGTAGCTTTCTTCTTCTCCCTGGCACATACGGGCGAGTATCGGCTATTGACCCAGAATTATTTCACAATCAGTTGCATCCCTGGAACCGCCACAATCAGTGGACCGTGCAAACTGCGCGGGTCACACTAAACCTCGGTGAACTTTGACACTAATTTGTGCCGTTAACAAACCGCAAACTGTTGGCGTTGCTGATTTGTGAGCAGCTATCAGTGTCCAATAAACATCCACCACCTGCCTGTAATGAACCTGCTGCACCAAAAAAATCATCCAGATATTGTGACGTGATTCACGATGATATGAGAATCAAATCACAATTTTTATTTTCACTGAAAAAAATTGTAGTACCAAAGAAACAAGAATTAGTAGGCCAGTGTATCTCTGCAGCATTAACGTGCTTCATTATTGTAATGTTCTATTTCACCTTTTTATCAAACAATTGCAGCTTCTGTATTTTGGATACTGCACTATTGCAATTTCTATATTATTATGATTAGCAGCCTTAAATTAATCTGAGACACTTTATCCTGAACATTGCGTTGGTATTAAGTTATCAATTATATTAAAAGGAGGAATACATCTGGGGTTAAATGTGTTAATACTCTGAACTTCTGGTAAATTATTATTGTGAGTAAGTGTTCTGTATTGTCGAGAAAAGGTTCTGGAAAAGGATTTTGTTGTTGAGTTGTCACCACATCTCTCACAACGACGTTTGTGTCTTTAACAGATCCTGGGAGTGTGGCTTGCCGTGCGTTACAGGAACCAGAAGGATCCACGAGCCAACCCGAGTGCTTTCCTATAGTCTGTCCCACGTACGCAGTGCAGTGCCGTAGTTGCCGTTTCAGACACACTGGCACACATAGAATCATGCACATCTAGAGGCAGACACTCAGGCATATAAACACAGAGCCGACACCAATCACAACAGCACAGAATGGACGAGCGCACGTAGCACCTGAGAAACACTGAGAAACAAAACCCTGTCACCAGAGACTGAGAAACTACAACAACCACCTGTCCAGAAAAGAGCTCGAGCTGGAAGACCTGGATACTTATGTATGAAAGGATAACTTGTTATACTGGGAAGCCTTGATTTGAGTACCAGATTTCCTGCTAGTTTCCACCCATATAACAAGCGATGAGACATCTCTGCATGTGTCCTCCGCCTGATTTCATTCCACAACCAAATGACTGTGTGGTGTTCAGCAAATAACTCGTTATGCACCTTGAAAATCTTTCCCTTTTGTCTCTAACGTAGTGCAACCTCTTAACGACAAATATACTCCTCTGGTCAGTGCTATCGGTGATGTGTTCAACTGTTAGACCCAAAAACATGTCCAGCGTGATGAATTTGTTCTCAGAGTCCGTCGAGGAGAAAGAGAGAAAACCTTACTGGACGCGTGTTGTAAAGTAGTTTTTGAACTGTATGTAAATGTTTTTTGGTTTTTTCCAGATGCCACAAATGCCGGGATTTAACAGGATTTAACAGGATTAGGAAGCAAGAGTAGATTTTAGGTAACGTAGTTGTTAGTCATTCTGCTGGGGTTCAAATATTTATGAACTGTAACTGAGCCAACTAACTTTAAACAGTCAGAGATATTAGGATGCCAATGGACTGCAGCCTTGATGTTGTACATAATCTTTTAGAAATCATTCTCATTGGGTTCGTAGTTGCCCCTCCAGTCGGGAGGTTTGCCTGCATATTTGAGGTCCCTGAAGGCCACAATCATCCACCCTTCCTGTATTTAATACGTTCCTTTGTGTCGCACAGTGATGTTGCTTAGTATAGAGTCCGGTAGTAGAGAAGTGGATTCAGGTACGTATCATTTCCTCCTGTGTAACTGGAAGAAATCACACAAAAAAATGTTTTAAAAAAATAAAATAGTGGTTTGATTTGAAATAATTTGGGTAAATTTGGCCAAAACTGCGTATCGCAAACCCAGTTTTGTTTTTATAGTGTTAATTGTGAAAATATGCTCTTGGTTGCAATTCTTTTATTCTTTAAAAAAAATAAAAAAATATTGTTTTGTAAAGTTCCGATACCAGAATCATAAATTCCTTCAACGCTGCCTATAAAGTGACATCGGGTGTTGGTGAGTACGTGTGTGTCTCTGCACCGATCCGACACCACGTAATTTATTAGCCCCTGAAACGGGACCCTGCTTGTCTCGGATCGGTATGAGCCGATACGTAAAGTTCAGGTTTCGGCTTCAGGATGGAAAGAAATGGTATCGGAGCAGCTCTGTTGTTCTGTTCTGTTGCCATCAGCTCTTTTTCTGTTTATCAGTGTTAAATGCTTTGTAAAAAACTTGTTAAATATTTTCAGGATATATTTAAGTTAAGTTTGATGACGCACATTAGGCTTAAATTATGTTGTAGTTTGGATGATGTAACTTTTGATGCCGAGCTCGATGTAAATCCCTGCTCATTAATTCTCTCTTTTGATATGTGTTTTCTCTTTTTTGAATTGCTTTTAACTTAAAGGACTAACACAAACTGTAATTACATGTCTTACTTGAACCTGTCAACTTGGCTGATATGGATTTCCTGCTGCTGATTTGGAGTTAGATCTTACGCATTAATATGCCATATATTACACCTCACTTTGAATTTGTGTGCACTTGTTCTTCAATTGTATCTTGAATTTTTGAGACTTAATTTTCCAAATAATAAAACCGCAAATTGGAAACCGTCTCCCTTGAGTCTTTGTTTCAGTGTACACTAATGCTTAAAGGTTTGGGCCTTGATCTGGTGCAGTCAGATGGTTCAGAGGACTTTTCTGCTTTCAGATTGTAGAAAGTCCTTTTTGCAAATTGATGTTATTTAGTTTGAAGAGTAATATTTTATACATGGAGAGCAAAATGCTGTACAATGGTTCAACTAGACTGACAATGGAAAGGGCAGAAAGAGACAAAGATGCCACAGAGCGACAGATAAGAACAGAAGATATTGCCGATCATCGGTCACAGGGACGTTTCCAGAGGGGCAGTGTGGGGTGGCACTGCTCACCCCTGAAATCTAAATGGCCACCCCATTACCCTTACATAATCTTCTACACGCTGTCTTTTAGAGGCTGTAGAAGCTCTGTTTTAAAGCTACTGAATGTACTGTTCATATCCGTTGGTACCGACCACGTCATACTAGCATGTCGGGAAGGGGGCTAAGTAATGTTTCAAAGTTAGGCTAAATTTTGGCGATGGAAAGACTAACATGGCCAAATTCAGGATATCTGGATGAGTCCTTTTTGCAGACATGCCCACTTTATGCTAATCCTATGAATTGTTGTTATATTTATATATATTTGAATATTTCTGCATACTGGGTTCCATAAACAGTGTTGAAATTGCATAAATTGGGAATGACTGGAAAGCTGAGACACATACTTCATGCCACCCCTGCATCTGTCACTTGTGCCACCCCAGTCAGAAACATCTGGGAGCTTAGCATCAGACGGTTTCAGGTGCACAATAACACCTCTAACAAGCTGTTCTTAAAACTTAAAACTCTGACAGATCACAGTGTGATATTCAATCTGACCACAGAGTCTTTTGCAGAGGGCCTGTTCTGATCCTGCACCAGGATCAGCTGCACCGATGTGGTTCAGTAATGGTCGAGGATCACTTGTGCTTTTGTAGACTGGAAAACAAACTGAAGGTTACAGCAGTATTGTCCCCTGTCCTGCAGCATTGTTGGAAATAAATGAAGGTTTTTCATTTAATTCTTCTTCCTTTGTGGCCAAAACTATTTCAAATGTTAGTTTAATGTCATTTTGTGTCTGAATTATTCTCTTTTCATCCATTTTAAATTGACATTATTATAGGAAAGAATAAAAAGGTTAATAAAACAGGTGACCCCAAACGTTTGAGTGCTGTGTGTCTTTTTATAAGAGCGCCCTTAATAATAAGAATAAACTTTATTTCTTAGCAATGTTTCAAAGTAAAGTTACATAGTCATAAAGAACCATGCAGGATAAGGCAGATAAAATGAGAATAAAACCAAAGGACACAACAGAGGAGGTGAAAATAAAATAATAATAACAAATAAATAAGAATAAAACAGTATGAACTGTGTTTCTTTAGGGGTCAGTTTTATCTTGTGACATTAAATCAGACAGGAGACAGAGTTTAGGTGAGATAGCACCAAAGATATGACACCTTTCACCACACGATGGCAGCACGGAGTCTGTTGCAGCTGCCATGTCTTCTTCCACCATTGACTGTTATTTCAGCCCCTCTGACGTGAGTAAACACTTAAAAGACGGGGGAAGGAATTTATGAACAGCGGTGGCTGTTTCCTCCGAATATCATCACACAGATTGATTGCAAGTTGAAGGTGGATCGCATCGACGTGGCAGCTGCAGAATTAATTTACTCAAGCAGTAGGTTTTGATTCCCTGTGATATTCCTTCAGAAGGCCATTAATCCCTTCAGCTGGGACGGGTCCAGTAATGTGGGGGTGGGCTGAGGAGGGTGGGGTGGGGTGGTGGTGG